ACATAAACATCATAATTGTTTAAATATTTAATTGGCCAACACGAATGTTGTGATTATTGTTTTGAAACTGCTACACATCCGATCCATGCATCCGATCATCAGGTTTAAGGTGTCGTTGGATAGGTCGTGACATGTAAATTTGCCATAAAACAAAACACATTTGAAATTCCATCAGGGCTCTGCCCCAGTGGCCTTCAGCCAATTGAAAGCGTCAATATACGTGATTCAATTTATTTCATATCACGGACGATTACTTGATATCAAACATTATAAATTACAAAATAAATGTAAAAATAAACGGTATCAGCATTCTGAAACATACTTTCTCCCATAAGCTTGTTAACATCCTATATCATGGGAAAGCGGTGATAGCAGGCCTATATATAGTTCAAAATCACAAAAGCTGAAATAACTGTTGGACCATAATTGTTACAGCAATGGGGTGTTGTACGATTTTTTTAAAACATCATTTGTTTATGTCTATAATCCATATACCAGGTCTCTTCTAGTATTCGTGGTCTAATCACAGAATACCGATATTGGCGATAATTTCACCCAAATTACCTTTTGAATTCAAGTGAATACAATTTTCTTTGCGTCTTGCTTTCGCAATCACCATTATATGGCACAAGACTATCCCTGACTATCGTCGGTTTAAATTTATAAAATGCATGCTTTTCACGCGTATGTTGCGTGCGCACGTGGTGGTAGGTGCGCATATAAACTTATATATATATTTATACGCCTAATGAAAAAAAAATGTTTATTCACTGGCAATTAAGTAAAATAAATATTCTATTTTTGTTTTTGATATACGTTTTTATCATCTCATATTAATACGCGAGAGCTGTGTTTTGTGAACACTGCTCCTCCCTTATTTGTGGACAAATTTCAACGTTTAAGGTGTGTAAGGATTCGGACCAATTCGTAGTTTTGCATTAAGGTTTTAGAATTTAAAAGTTCCTACCCTTAAGGGCGTGAGACCTTTTCAAATGTCGGGTTTTCACCATGTTAATAATTGTATTACCTATCAATCTTTCTCCCGAAAATAAACTAAAATTTCCAGAAATGATATTTAAGAGTTAGGTACATTAACTTTCTCTAAATTAACTGAATCAAAGTACAATATATTTAATGCTACAGAATATAAATCCAACCGATTTACGACAAGAGTGCATGGTGGCGGGTTGTCAAGGTGGCACGTTGTCGCCTATGAGCGAGGTGGCGCGTTGACGGCACCGAACACTGAGCGTACACGTCAACCCGCCACCTCGTAAAAGAGTGGTGGTGGGTTGACGTGGTGGCACGTTGTCACCTACGTGCGAGGTGGCGGGTTGCCGACATCGAACATGGAGCTTCACGACAACCCGCCACCTCTGATAAAAATGGTGTTGGCGGGTTGTCGTGGTGGCATGTTGTCGTGGTGGCTCATTGACTTGAGTGTGTACGACAACCCACCACCTCGGAAAATTGTGTGGTGGTGGGTTGTCGTGGTGGCCTGTTGTCGAGGTGGCGGGTTGACCTGTACGTACACGTCAACCCATCACCTCGGTTTTTTTGTGGTGGCGAGTTGACGCCTCCGACCAAAACATCGAGGTGGCGGTTTGGGGAACGCGCCAAGGCGCCACCACGTCAACCCGCCATCAAAAAGAAGAAGAAGTTTGAGGTGGCGGGTTGACGTGGTGACTCGTTGTCGGGGTGGCACGTTGACTCTAGCGTGCACGACAACCCGCCACCTCGGAAAATTGTGTGGTGGCGGGTTGTCGTGGTGGCACGTTGTCCTGGTGGTGCTTAGACGTGTTCATACACGTCAACCAGCCACCTCTTTATTGTGGTGGCGGGTTGACGTGGTGGCTGGTTGACGTCTACGTGCGAGGTGGTGGGTTGACGACACCGAACATTGAGCGTACACGACAACCCACCACCTCATAAAATAGTGATGGCGGGTTGACGCGGTGGCACGTTGTCGCTTACATGCGAGGTGGCGGGTTGACGAGAGTTAACATGGTACATTCAATGAAATATTTCCATGTGTAATTGTGATTAATTAATCCAGTGATAATATCTGCACTGAAGCACTGGTTTAAAATGTTCAAATACTTCAACAAGTTGTTTTAGTTGGTTTGTAAGCTATGTACTGTTACAATGGTGTGACATTATTAGACGTCAAAACATGGTTTTATGAGATTCATTATAAATCTTGACATAAAACTTTCCATAAAAACAAAAGGTTGTAATATAGTCCGTATATCTGACGGGGAGAATAAAATAGCCGTTAATTCGCAAGCCGTTTAATAATATTTCAAAGATAAATTGGTTTAAAAGGTGATACCTGCAGCATTTCCCGTGTTCGGCCAGAAGAACAGGACTAACAACTGCCAAGAAACACTTAATATAAACATTAATCGTAGCATATAAACATTTTGCTGGGCCCGCTTGTGAGGTACAATTCTTCTTTCTTTTCTCTTAGTCAGCTGGTGTCTTTGTTGATACGTGTTTTTTTTCATTTTGGCGAAATAAAAAAAGGCGTAGTGACTAACTAAATGATTGAAGCATAACCAATTTATAATACATTTTAACACTGGGGCGTTAAGTGACTAATTTCAACACGAGCTTAAGTTGCAATAGATACAATAGGTACAATCGATCGATTTAATCTAAAGAAAGAATCATGTTAATTTCAGATCATATCAACTGTATTTGAGATTATTCAAATTTATTTTACAAAACATCGAATGAAGTTGAGAATTGCAAGATGTATGTGAGAAGGCATCTTTATTAATAATTTAAGATCAGTGAATTATACGTATTTTAGCATTCGAGAGATTGTGATTTGATAATGAGGAAATCAAAATTCAGCTTAGTTCATTTTGTGGTTTAATCACAAAAGTTAATAATAACATTGACCTTACATGATAATAACCATTGTACTGTAACCTTCACAGTCATGGGGGTTGTTTTGGACCATTTTGTTCAAAGTTAAAAGAGCCATAACTTCAGCACCTTGCCAGGGGTTGACCCCGACGTGATGTCAAACGGAGAACAATCAGTAGACAGAATTTTCAAGTCAAGATTACCCCCCTTTCGGGCACTCATATCCAAAATTATTGTGGTTTGCAAAAATCGAAACCCAGTTTTCTCTAGCGGGGATCATGGTCGACGAAACTAAGTTCTATCACGTCGGGGTCACCAATGAAGTTGTAAACTCACAAATTCAAGATGATAATAAAAAATACGTGTATTTAGTAGAAAGATAAAGTGAACTATAATAATAATTGAATGAATAGTAAAAATATTATATCATATGCTAAATAAAAATTACCGTAATTTACAGGTATAGTGTTAGCAAAACGGGAGTGCCGATGTGAGGACCTGTGGGGGTGCGTGCGTTTAAGGGACATGACCTGGTCTCCATCGTAAGTAATCCGTAAGTAGTCAGAAGTCTCTACGGTGGAAACTGTGCAACGGAACCAGACTTACGATTTTTAAAAACTTGATCGAAACAAAAATCATCAGTGGTAAGTTTAAAGGTGAAATAGTCTAATCCACGAATACTAGAAAAATACCGGTATTTATCATAAACATAAACAAATTACGTTTTTGGCCGGAAATTAAACAAAACCCTATACTAATAGAATTAACTAAGATAGGTATGGTTTTGTTTAATTTCCGGATTAAAACATCATTTGTTTATGTTTATAATCCATACCGGGTCTTTTCTAATATTCGTGGTCTAATCACAGAATACCGATCATTTTACCTTTTGAATTCAAGTGAATACAATTTTCTTTGTATCTTGCTTTCGCAATCGCCATTATATGGCACAAGGGCAATCCCTGACTATCGCCGGTTTAAATTTATAAAATGCAAGCTTTTCACACGTATCTTGCGTGCGCACATGGTGGTAGGTAAGCATAAAAACTTATATATATATATATATATATTTATACGCCTAACGAAAAAGTTATATTTTTGTTTTTGGTATACATTTTTATGATCTCTTATATTAATACATGAGGGATGTTTTTTGTGAACACTACTCCTCCCTTATTTGTGGACAAATTTCAACGTTTAAGGTGTTAAAAGATTCGGCTCAATTCGTAGTTTTGAATTAAGGTTTTATACTTTTATAATTTAAAAGTTCCTATCCTTAAGAGCGTGAGACCCTATCAAATGTCTGGTTTTCATCATGTTAATAATTGTATTACCTACCAACCTTTCTTCAGAAAATAAACTAAAATGTCCAGAAATGCTATAACATTAACTTTCTCTAAATTAACTGAATCAAAGTACAATATAGTTAGTGCTACAGAATATAAATCTAACCGATTTACGACAAGAGTGCATGGTGGCGGGTTGTCGAGGTGGCACGTTGTCGCCATGCTTGTCGCCTATGAGCGAGGTGGCGCGTTGACGGCACCGAACACGGAGCGTACACGTCAACCCACCACCTCGTAAAAGAGTGGTGGCGGGTTGACGAGGTGGCACGTTGTCGCCTATGTGCGAGGTGGCGGGTTGCCGACATCGAAAATGGAGCTTCACGACAACCCGCCACCTCTGATAAAAACTGGTGTTGGTGGGTTGTCGTGGTGGCTCATTGACTTGAGTGTGTACGACAACCCGCCACCTCGGAAAATTGTGTGGTGGTGGGTTGTCGTGGTGGCTTGTTGTCGAGGTGGTGGGTTGACCTGTACGTACACGTCAACCCGCCACCTCGGTTTTTTTCTGATGGCGGGTTGACGCCTCTGACCAAAACACCGAGGTGGTGGTTTGACGTGGTGGCGCATTGACAGCGACCCGCGGTTTGACGTGGTGGCGCATTGACAGCGACCCTTCTAATTACACACAATATACGTAACCGTAGCCACAGCGTAACCAATACTAATACCATAGATAAAACATACTCCTAATACTCTATGTTTCCTAATTCGCGCCATTTACATTATTCCAAAAATCCAGCCCGAAGGACGAAGACGAAGGTAAGGTAGAGGTAGACACAGCGAACAGCGTCAACCTCAACCAACACCAACAGTCAAGTCAACCAAACCAACATCACTCAACATCAGGTTTTCACTTGAAACGTTGCATCTTACATTTAATTTCATGTTCTCATTCTCAATTATTTAGTGAGTGTAAGTCAAGTCAACTTAGTTAACCATTGTGGGGTAAAGCTTTAAAACATACCTTTTGATATTCGGTGGTATTAAATGTATATTTTAGTTGTATGAATCGCTAAACTATGTCTGGTAAGTACAAGGCAGAATTAGGATTAGGACTAACTTTAATCAAAATGCTGTTTATTTATAGGCCTAGAGACTTGTTGAATAAACTTAGCTGATTTAAGGCAGGATATCCTTGCACATTATTATTTAACGTAAAGAGTCAAACTATGCCAAATGTCCCAGAAATGTTTGGCCAAGTAGGCTAACTTCGACAGGTTTTTTGGTGTAGCCTAGGCTAGCCCTAACGGCCTGGTATAACTTATGATGTGACGTTTCCTAACTGACAAAATCATGAGAGCCTATTTTTAAGGTCTAGAGGTCACAATTCTTATCATGATTAATCCTAGACCCAGTTTTATTTGGTCATTGAGATCTTTTTAACCAAGTTTTGCTTTGAGAGTTAAAATTTTGGCAAATTCCTACTTTATGTCCATATGGGATTTTTAGTAGGTAGCCTAGGGATAATGTTGTAAAAAATTAAGGTATTTATTCCGTATAGGTGCCTCCAAAAGAATTTTTAATTTTTGTTATCTTACTTTATAGTTTTTTACCTCCTGAATCCAAATATACCATTATTTTTCACCGCTGATGAATATTTCTCAAGATATCGCCGTAAAAACATACTTAACATTACAATAAACAAGATAGGATGTATAACATTTCAAGTGATTCTGTAGTCAAATAACTTAAAATGTTCTAATAGGAATTTTGTCACATTATGGAGATATAGATGGACTGGTGGACTAATTACATGTAGGCCTAGTTTTTATTTAGCCATGTCAGGGTGGTAGGTCGTGCTGTAGGCTATGTGAATTGGTGGCTGCATTACCGTAAGTGTTTTGAAGTTAGGTTAGATTAGGAAGGTAAAGTTTAGGTTATAATGTATCGAGTTGTTAGTTTATGTTGCCTGTTGCAGAATGTTTTTGTAAAATTAAAATCCTGAGAAAAACACTTCAAATTACTATTTCAAAAATGCAAGCATTGGTTTTACTATTACTGGCATAGAAGTGAGAACACAACAGAGTTATAGAACTAACTTTATTCTCTGATAAATTGTTAGAAAAACTCTTTTCCATAAATCCTAATACACGGGCGAGCATGTTCGCGAGCATGCTCGTGACAGTGTTGGCGACGAACATGCTCGCCCGTCTGTGGGATCCGTCGCGGCGAGCATGTTGGGCTCGGCGCTCGGCTCGTCAGACCTGGCGAGCCCGAACACGAACATGCTCGCCCGTCTGTGGGGACGACCAATATGTTCGAGAGCATGTTCGCCGCTCCAACTTGGGTAGAGATAGGCTAAATGATTCCATCGATGTAGCCGCTACTATGTTTCCAGTTACACTTGTGGACTCATTACAAGTAACCGTTCCAATTCCAAACGATTACTTCATACCGCCATTACAAAGTAGCCGCAATAGACAGATTGCACTTGTAATCATCACGGTGTTGATACTCTGATGTATTCCAGTTACAGTAATAGATTTAGAATCAATGTTGACAGAAGCTAAATAAATATTTATTTGTGTTTGTAACGCAATAAATAAAAGAGTTTCCAAAATAGAGGGTTCATCAATTAAAATTTGTATATTATTACACAAATGTATAGGCTACAATCAATTCTGTATTAATTTGTCACAATAAATAATTCTAAGAAAGGCTAGAATAAGCAAAGCTACGAGATATGTTTTTGCACGATGATGGAATTTTAACCAACATTTATTTTCAAACCATAGCGGATGAAATAATTCCGATAACTTAAAGCCTGGCACACACGGTAAATTTTTAGATCAGCCGATTACAAAATCGGCCAAAAATAAATCGTCCCTGATTTATGTCTAAGAAATAATGTGTATGTTGACCGCGGGAGACGATGATGACGTTCCCGAGACCGCGAGAGACGACGATGACGTTCCCGTGACCGCGGGAGACGACGATGACGTTCCCGTGACCGCGGGAGACGACGATGACGTTTCCGTGACCGTGGGAGACGACGATGACTTATCCGTAATCGCGGAAGATGACAATGACGTTTCCGTGACCGCGGGAGATGATGACGACGTTTCCGTAACCGCGGGAGACGATGACGACGTTTCCGTGACCGCGGGAGACGACGATGACGTTTCCGTGACCACGGGAGACAACGATGATATTTCCGTGACCGCGGGAGACGACGATGACGTTTTCGTGACCGCGGGAGACAACGATCGATGACATTTCCGTGCCCGCGGGAGACGACGATGACGTTTTTGTGACCGCGTATGACGACGATGACGTTTTCGTGATCATGCATGCAGACGATGACGTTTCCGTGACCGCGTGAAACGATGATGATGTCCAACTGCCGCGGGATATGTTAGTGATTTTGCTGCGATCGCGCATGCGGACGATGACGTTTCCGTGACCGCGGGAGACGACGATGACGTTTCTGTGACCACGGGAGACGATGACGACGTTTCCGTGACCGCGAAAGACGACGATGACATTTCCGTGACCGCGGGAGACGACGATGGCGTTTCCGTGACCACGGGAGACAACGATGATATCGCCGTGACCGCGGCAGACGACGATGACGTTTTGGACCGCGGGAAATTATTTGTTAATAAATTATTCCAAAAATATTGCGGGAAATTATTTGATTTAAGCTACGATCGAGGAAGATTATGATAACTTTACTGTGATCGCGGGAGACAATTATAATGTTTCTGCTACCACTGAACAATATCAGGATTTTTTCACGACCACGGAAGACAGTGGTGATGTTTCTGTTACTGAGTGAGATATTCAGGATTTTTCAGTTCTCGCAGAGAACGATGATGGTGTCTCTACGACTGTGTTAGAAGATTTCAATATAACCTCGAGTTTGGCTTGACCAAAAATTTCAAAATGGCACTCTTCTGGAAAGATTTTTTATATTTTTTTGTAATATCTTCATTTACGTTTAACGTGGTATTTATTTAATGGAAATGTGTTTAGAAGGGTTTAAAACATAATTTGGCTACGTGCAATTTTTGTAATTTCTGCATTATGATTTCTCTAGGCCACTTGGAAAACAACCCATTACTCCAAAATTATACAATATGAAAGTACATAAAGCCAGGGGTTGGTGTAGTAATCCTTAAGAACATTTGGTAAAGTTGAAATTATCAGTACAGTATTAAGAATCTTTTTTTCAGGTGTCTGTACAGAGATTCGAAAAATTTTGGTATCGACATATCACTATTTTTAGGAAGTTAATTGCAGGTTTAAGGATTAGTTTTTAATTTTTGGATTATTTAATCAGTAATATATAAAAATTGAATACTTGTGTCAGGCAATATTACAGCAATTATATTTTTTTCCCCCTTAACTGAAAACAGGCCTGTTTTTGATCCTGTCAGCGCCCTAGGCACAACTAATAGCAGCGCCCCATAGCAATACTGTTAGGGTGTGCACCTGCACCTGCCAAAAAAACCCGGGAAATCCGGGAATTACATTTGAGTTTTTTTATACCGGGAATGATGGGTGAATTTTGTATTTCTACCTGGAATTTTCATTTACCGCGATCGCGCATGACAACAGCGACGTTTTCGTGACCGCAGGAGGCAGTAAAATGTCTAGACATGGCCACGAGGGATGATCAGAGTTTTGCGGAGATCACAGAAATAATGTCTACACAACCGTGGGATATGATCATGATTTTGCCTCGATCGCGCAAGCGATGATGTTATCTGCAGAGCCGCGAGGCATGATAAGAATATTGCCACGATCGCGGAAGAAGAGGATCTCCACACGACTGCGGGATATGATTAACATTTTGCCACAATCCCGGAAGACGATGACAATCTCCACACGACTGCGGGATATGATTAACATTTTGCCACAATCGCGGGAGATGATTACTATGTCCAATACTACACGATTGGGGGAGACGATAATGATGTGTTTACGGCCGCGAGGGATGAACAGAATTTTACCGCGATTGCCCAAGATGATTATAATGTCCATACGACCGCGGGAAAAGATCAGAATTTTGCCTCATTCGCGGTAGACGATGATAATCTCATCACGACCGCGGGATATGTTCATATATTACCGCGATCATGGAAGACGATAATTATGTCAACACGGCCGCGGGAAACAGTAGAATTTGCCCTGATCGTAGGAGACGATGATGATGTCTCAACAACCGCAGGAAATAATTCACATTTTGTTGCAACTGCGGGAGACGATTACGATGTCTACATGGCCGCGAGGGATTATCAAGGGTTTACCGCGATCGCATGCAAATACAACCAAAATTTTTTTTATTTTCCAATTTTTTGGCGCCTCCCAAAAAAGCCAATTGCCTCGTGCCCTAGGCACGTGCCTACCGTGCCTATTCGGTAAATCGGCCCTGACTGAGAATGCTCTTTCCGATAACGAAAATAGCGAGCTGTTTTAGAGAGCTAAAACAGCATTGCGGAAGTTGGTGCAAACACGTTGGAAATTTTAGTATGAAAGGTAGGCCTACGACCTGAACTACCTGGATTTTTTTACTTGTGAATTACCCATGAATTTTTTCTGGTTGGCCTGGTGGACACCCTGTATTTTTCCTACATAAAATAATTAGTCTTTCAAACACTATAGGCTACAACACGTTTTTAGGTTCAGCTGGCAAGTGGTAACACAAATAGGTGCCCTAGAGAAAATAGTACCCGGTCCGTATCACTCCGCTATTTTTCCTAGCCAAGAAATGTGCTCCGCGACTTGAGAATATAGTTCCGTATGTTTTTGTAATTTGAAATGGTTTCCGCGCCTTAAAAAATGCTTTGAAGGTATTTTCTTGTTTATAAAGATCGTAGGAATGTTTTAAAAACGTTTAAAAGAAAAGTCCAGAAAGTTCAGAAATACCGAAACGATAAACACGAAATGACACGTTAAATCGTACCGTAGTTAAAATACTCAATCAGCTGCTCATAGTATTATTATCTTACAGTTTTGCCAACCTATTTCCAATTGTACACGGATTACGTGCATAATAGAACCACGCTGTTTTGTGTTGTTTC